ATCTTTACGGACCACGGTGGCTACAGATCCAACCAGAGTGGACATGCCTTTGTTACTGATGATGAGATATAACAATGCTGAGCTCGTCACATTTATAATAAGTGATAGAGTGCAGTGGATGGTATCGAAGTACTCTACTTACCGTGAACGTGCGTTAGACTGTTGCAGTGCAAAGTGTTTTGCATTTTTTATTCGTGAATAGAGCAGATGGCGCTCGTTCTCAAGGCACAAATTCAAAATCTCTCGAAAACAAAGGCATGTCCACTCTTGTTGACTCTGTGGTCACTGCTATAATTACGATTTTTGTAGGGGGTACTCGGTTCGTACCTACTTACGTCAATAGTCAAAAGTACAGGATAAAAATATGAAATTTATATTATAAAATATTTTTGATAAAATATAAATGAAAAGATATGAAAGGTAGATATGAAAATTTGTATATTATAGAATATAAATAAAGAAATATAATAAGTAGGTATGATAATTTTGTAGTAACCCTTTATCTAAAATTAGTACTTGTACAATTTTACGGATTATGGCACAACAGGTGTATACGCAAAGAATAAATTATTTATCGACAGGTATTGCGTACGCTGTTGGATTTGATTGTTTTCAGCGATTATAATGATTTATAGTGGCAATCGTGAATACACGGCGTAGTTTTGGCTAAATATTTTTACTTGGAAAAGTCATTTCATTTTTACCGTGAAATTTCCATAACCGTTATGCCGAAGCGAGATAACAATGCCAACAATTAACCACCAATAAAGCATTTCCGGGCTGGTTGTGCAATCGAATATGTGAACGCGAGGAGCGTTGAGAAAATCGCTTCATAAGAACGTTCAAGGTTCGATTAAAAGCATCCACCTTTCGCTTCGATATAATTGCTGGACTGAAGACGCCTTCGCTTATTCTTCTTATTTATCTTGCCCATCGTGGTTGCATCTGCTTTTGCGTGATGCAAGTGTCTACGATCTTACGATATTACGAATTGTCTTAATCGATTTTCATTAGATACTGTAATTATATCCTGGAATGATTTCAAAAGAAACCTCGATGGTTTGTGAAATAAATTTTATCGGATGCAGAAATAAAAATATTAATTATAATTCTGGATATTGTGCTCATTTCAAAGAAACCTTCTGGATTTACCCCTGTAATAAATAATATTGTTTATATCTTAATCTGAATGTAAATTTAATTTTAGAGGAATGTATTTCTATTATTACCCTGTCAAAGATTGATGGCAATGCGAGGTTACATATTTGAATATAAATCGAATAGAACAATCAACACGCGTCAGAAATAGTTGTAAGCTACGACTTTCTGGATCATTTCATTATTCTGCTGACTCGTAAAGTAGTTGTATGCCGGCAATATCAGGCGAGCCTTTGTCAGCCATAACATCGACCAACATGAGCATAATTCACCCCGCGGTCCCGACAATCGATCGTCAATTTGCATACGATGAATCTCCTTTCAACCTGCATCGCATTCGATCGCGATGTAAAGCTAATTTATGCGATGCGCGAAGATCGATGTTCCGATGCCGTTCTATCGATGCTTTTCCCTTTTAACAACATGTTTCAAGCCTGTTTGTTCATCTATTTCTGCATCGTAGTGGTCAATAATGATGTCACTTCATTCCTGACAGAATTAACAGTGGACGTTCAACAAAGATGTAATTGTTATTTCAAGTTGAATATTTTTAAAGGAAGAGTTGCGGTGTGTTTAAAATAATCGTAGCTATTATTTTAATATTAACCCTAGGACCATTATTCTGTTCAAATTGCCATTTTTTGGAATTGATAAATGTGAACCAATTTGTAATTGTTTCAAATTTCTTTTCCATTTGTAATACGTGTTATGAACAATGATACTTTGTAACAAGCCCTCGTCCCTTGAAAGAAGTTATCAGGGACCGAAACGTACACCAGCAGACCTGTAATAACACGTCATTTTCCCCAGACTCGATAACTATAATTTGATGCGAAATTGAATCTTTAATTGCACGGATTCTATACGACGACGATCAGCTGGCGCCAGTCGGGAAATAGGAATAAAGCAACCATGCTCGCGGATTTCATCGAAGCCGTTCATTTCCTGCGTTTTCCATTGCACGGGGAAACGCTCGCTTCCTATTTGAAAATAACACTTCTCTCGAGGTTGCTGTTGATTGTTGAGAAGAAATCTTGTATATAAAATACGCACGAAAGGATAAAAATAAATCCTTGAATCCTTGAGAATTTTTCTGAGAAAACCTTGCGCCTTTCCACGCCTCTTTTCTCTTAGCGATTGCAAATATTATCTGTGCCTTCTAATGAGTTTCAATTAAATCGTCTAAAACGATCAATGTAACCTCGTCGAAATCCTTGGAATTTTTCTTTTTTAAATTTACCTGCAATCGAACAGTGCATTCACGAAATAAAAACACGTGTTCTCGAACGGTTCTTTAAGGAGTTGCCTCGAACAATACTTTGTAATTACATTCGTAACGTTACATCATTGCCGATTTATTATCGAACGTGCAAACGTGGGAATGAAGATTTCAGGATGTTACACGAGCCTACGGGCAAAACTGTCGCTTGTAACAGGACGTCTAAACTTGCAAGTTTATAGCAGTGGTTGACTTGTTAATCGAGTTTCCTGTTGGTCATAAATTTTAGTTCGCGAACGGGTCCGATCGATGCTTACTTGGCTGATTGTTTGATCGATCTGTTTTGACATTGACCTTAACACGTTGAATACCTGGCGAATTTTACACGTGCTCTAAATTGCGCACAGTAATATTTAATAATCGCAAGTGAAACTACACGTTAACGCATTGATTGTCACAGTGAAAATGACCATATGCGATGAGACACCCGACTGCTGTAATGGAAATGCCTTCATAAAGGCTTATCAGTTATTAACAATAATGCCAATTTTTAAACTTAAACTTTTAATTGGTTATCTTATACCAGTCATTGACAATGACCCTCGCGATATGCAATGTATTGACGCAATGCCAAGAATTTCGAGCCATGAGAAAAAGAATCAAAGGAACGGCTCGCTGCGCATCGTTTCGTGGCCACAATTGCGTAACGCGAGTCCATACGAATTAAGCAACGATAAGCGTGATCACTGTGTTCGTCTTGGCAATTGTTGTTTCGTAGAAACGCCATTACGGATAATCGCCTTCGAACTAACGCTCGCAAAATAGCCGAGAAATCCTGACGGTGTCGGACCACCAGCGTTGCGACTACCACATTAAAAATGATCCTTAATTTCTAATGTCTTTTTAAATGTCTAATAATTTTCAAATTCAAGCTTTTAGTTTGCTACCTTACGCTGATACTATCCTAGGATTGTCTAATAATTTTTAAAAATTAATTAATCAATTATGTAAAATTTTTAAGTCCTGGCTATCGAATTATGCAATTCTAATTGAAACGAAAATGACAAAATCTGGATTAGTTTCTTTTGAACGAGGTACCGAATGCATCCACTCGATCCTTTCGTACGAGATTCTTCGTCGTGCAAGTTCAAGGCTCCATGCAGCGGTACAGATACCCGCAAGGTCATCAAGTGTGCAAATACCGTGATCATAGCCGTGTACAGGTGCAGTCGCTTTCTCATTGCGGAGATGAGACAAGACTGACGTAAACGGTATGTATCAAAACTGTCGAGTATCTGTTGTAATCCTTCGAACAGCAACCACACGTCACGATAAGCGCCACCGTGTGTTTTCCTCGATTTTCTCTCTCGATAATTTCTTCGCTTCGCGGCGAGGTTGCTCAATGGGAATAACAGAATTAATCATCGATCGGATATTACTCATTCGACCCCGAAATATCTTGCATCAGAGAGAAAGAGATAAATGTTGACCGAGTCCTTTCATTCATAAGCGGTGAATCTAGCAAGTTAGATCGAGAGAACACGCTGTACCGGTACCAGATCAACCACTATCTTGATTTCCCTATTTTTTAGTTTTCTTTGTAACTCGATTTTTGCATGAATTTATTCGCTGACGTGTCCCTGCGGATTGCAAGAGACATTAATCTTCGAGCATCGAGGTTACATAATTTGTAGAGCAAAATCGATTCGACACTGATAAATGGTATCACGAATAATTGATTGTTGGAGCTTTTGAAAAATAATAATTCTACAAAATCAATCGAATTAGAAGTAAAATAAAAATAAAAATGTGAAAGATTAAGTAGGACGAATGTTACATTGTAACAAGTGTGTTAACTGGTTCATTTAGAGGGTGAACGATATATTGAAAATGGCACGAGAAAATTGTTGCACGAACGACTGGAACCGATCGATACCCTGTGACATTTTCTATCGTTCTACCTAGCGATCTCGACGATTAGCCAGGCATTAGTTGGCTCTCGGTTAGTCACCTTCCTGGCGTTGTTTTGAAACGGCCGAGCACGCGGCGATAGATCGTATCGAAAGAATGGAACAATTGTTTCGAGGTCATGGTCGAATTGCACAGCGAGGTAAAATGTATGCCGTATCGATTGTCTTCGACGCGTTGTAATGTACACGCGTCCTGGGCGTCGACGATATAGCGTCGTGTCCGATGACGCCGATAAGCTAGATAGAAATATCGATCAGAGGATAGGTACCGCGTGTAATTATGCGGACTATTCGTTTCGCGGGTTCCGGTACCATCGCGTATCACTTGCCAAGTATTCGAGCCCGCTACGCTATTGTTTCGATCCGCTATCACGCCCATTTGTAAATGTCTCTGCTCGCTAACTGAATATCATGCTGATTTCCGAGCACGCGGAAGAATAATTCTTGGAAACTTTAACTAGTTAACCGGACTTTAATTTCGATACGGCAGGCCGAAGTTCAGTAATCGGTTCAACAACGAAAGAATCAGAATTGCATCAATTGTGGGTTTAAAGTTTCCTTTCGTGCAAACTGTTGTTCAATAGATTAAACTAATAGAGACTTCAGTTCTAAGTTTGCATAATAGAAAATGAATAAACCCGACGAATGCTTGTTCGAGCAAGGCAAATTAAATGTTTATTTTATATAAGAGGTGTATTATATACCGCCCGCCAGTTCTACATTTATTACATGAATCAGAGAAAGTTATTTCCTCATTTTTTCTTTGTTATGAAGTTTTTCGAAACTGGATCTCGAGTCTGCTGCGTTCAGCATTTATTACACGAATCAGAAGGACCTAGTTTTATTCCTTATTTATTTCCAAGAAATTTGATCGATTAAAAGTGAAGAATAACTACCCCTAGCCTTCGGATTGTTCAATTAAATTCCTAATGATTAAAAGAAAAAATTGTTTTAAACAATCTTAAACAAGTCCCAGTTCCCAATATCCTTTTCCTACCACTTCTCTGGTATCCCTTCACCGCGAACCTCTCGAAGCAAACCGCGTACTCTCTCCTCTACCATAGTGGAACCACTGAAGCCTGCTCCACGCCAGACGCTGCAACATTCCAGTGCCGCGACGACGCAGCCTCGTCCCTTGCCGAAGATCTTTGGCCAGCTCGGGCAAAGGGTGCCTATTGAAAACAATTCAACGGATACACCTGAATCTGTGCAGGGAGGGCAGAAAAACGTTTACCCGTGGAATCGGTGTTCGGTCGAGCCAGGTGGGAGGCGTGGAAGGTGGAGTTACGGGTGACGACGAGCCTCGGCTGTGGCCTCTGGGTAGGGGCCCCTGGCGTCGTTGCGTACCCTGGTAACATTGGACCCCCACTTGTGCCTTCGGTAGTCGGAGGCGCATACGACGCGACCGCTCGACACCGATATACCGACGACAACGACGCCGACCGGCGATCATCATCCGTCCTACCGTCTGCAGTTGCAGTCGGCCACCGCGCTCACCATCGTACACGCGACATTCCGTTCGTGGGGATTCCCGGCGCGTTCAACGTGCCCGTTCGCTCTCGCACTCGAACCGGATACGTGGATAGTGAGTCACACAGGTGGTATAACGCAGCAAGCTAGATAGAAATCCTACATCTAATACTCGATTTCGATCGATCGCAAGCGAACCCGATCGGCACCGGTTTCTCTACTCGCCGTCGAACCGCGCGTCTGATGACTCCTCGCGTCCAGTGATTCGGGGACAGTGAGGGTACTCTCGCGAAGAAGGGGTATCCACGGTGACAGTGAGTAGATACCGTGAATATTGTGTGCACTCGGACGGTAGGATACGCGTCCGGTGAAGCTCACGGTGACGAGTCGTGTAACGAAGAAAGGTGTTGGATCCACCAACGCGACGATACCAAGGTTTTTCGAGTTTCCGTCGTTACCCGTGGGAACGTCGAATAATTTCGTAGGGGAAAGCGACGTATTCGCGACGCACAACGGACGACGAACTTTCGAAATATTCGTCGACTTTTTGCCTTTCTATTTGCGTAGGATGTCCACCGCGGGATCGGCAAATCGCGTCCGATTAAAGTCGTTACTTACTTTCGAAGGTGTTTCGAGATTTTCCTAAAGCGGTGAATCACCCGACCGATTCCGTTACTCGCGTTCGCGGAAAGTTCAAGGAAATAGGAGGGTGTGCGCGAGAACTAGCCAACTCGGTACCGATCGCTTTCTGAAGTCGTTGCATTTTAGCCTGATTATTCCCGATCCCCTAAACCCCATTATATGGTAATTGCTTTGGCACGTACCCCAAGATATGCTGTTACTTCATGCTCGAGTAGCTTTGACATATTGGGAGCATAATTGTCCTGGACAGTGTACCGTGAAATGCGCGATTCCATTCGGTCTTCGAACTTTTACAAGATAATTGATGTGTAACAAATTCGAATTGTTATCTGTGAAACGATTAAGTAAGAATTAGGAAATTTTTCTGCTGGATTTTTTCCTACTAACGAGAGATCGTGCTCCAGAACGCTCTGTTCGTTCACCTCGTCGTCGATCTGGCTCGCAGATCGTCGATCGTAGACGTTCATTGATCGATGTTCAGACACTGTTTTTTATTCCTACCTCGTCCAAGGCATGAGTCAACGTTGTTCGATATCTGAAACGATCGCTGCGAGGTGCGTTCGAGCCGTTCCACTCTTAGAGCAAGCTCGAATTTTTACGTAATTCGTCGGCCACTTGTGCGTCATTTTGCAGCAATAAATAAATAAAGTCTCAAGAAAATAACAAGAAAATTTCACCTTTAATCCCCCTTGCACTTTCACGTTACAGTGTCCCCGTTTGCGATCAATAAATAATCCGGATAAAGAAAGAAAGGAACTAAAAGTAGGTAGTCTCGTTGAACAATCGTCGGGTACGGAGCAGCTTAACGAACAAGCAAGAGATCTAGAATCGCGCTAATTACTCGCTTACGATCCTCGATTTCCGGCCTGGCGGTCGGGAAAAATCACGGCCGGCGTTCATTTCCGTTCACGAATCGGTAGGAACGATAAATCACGGGTTATCTTGGGGCCGGTTGAAAGTTACCTGTACGGATCAACGTCACGTTGCAATAACGGAACTACGTCATAAATTAGCGAGCCAACCTCAACGGCTTCGATAAAAATTCCCTGGCCACCTCGAGTCGCACCGGTTTCTCCCGTGTTCCCTTCCTCGCGATCCTCAAAGGTCAAATACAGCTCGCCAACTGAACGAAAACCCTTTCCGTTATCGACTCGTCACCGAGATCTTCGTCGATCCTTACCTTAACCCTCGAACAAGACGATCTAACAACGCGATGTTTCATCGCGTTGCTATCGAGGTCAAGCTTCTCTCACGTTAATGTAGAATCCTTCGTTGTTCGATTTAGAGAAAGGAAGCAACCGGAAGGAAGTCCGTTTGGAAGCGCTTCGCACGGAAATTGATCGAAGAATCTTCAGGGCAGTCGAAGGAGAAGGAGAATTAAATTGCAAAGTGTTAGAAGAGAAATTGAAAGGAAGAAGTGCAGGGTGGAAGTTGAAGCAGTTGGTGCGTCGGAAGAACATTTACACAGGTCGTGAAACACGGTAACACGGAGGGGGTTTTACATGCGTCATCGTCGTGCGGGTACAAATCGCACGCGACGAAACGTTTCGACGGCAGTACACGTGCGTAACGACGCGCTCGATCGCTACAACGTACCGTGCCGTTCTGATCCTCTCAAAAGGATACGTGGTGATAAATGCGGTGCCGGAGATGACGCCGTCCGCGTTCTCCAAAATGCTCACCCGGCTCCTCCTGGTGGGCCTCCTCCTCGTCGCTTGCAACGGTGAGTAAATTTCAACGATCCTTCCTTCTCGCAATCAAAGTTCACTGGTGATCCACGGTGTTCCCTAAAAATACGTCTTTAATTAAAATCCTAAACGTAGCAGCTTTCATTCTGAATTGTTCGTCAAATGAAGAGAAGGAGAACACCATTTTTCATTACGTCAATTTGATGAGAATATTTCCATGAATATTTATCGAGTTACTACCAAGAAAAATCTCTGGAAGAAGCGTCAGTTCAGAATTTTTATTTTTCTTCTATAACTTACGAGCAGCGTGTCACAGTGTCAATCGGTTGATATGGCACGAATTAATATGCTATGAGACATCATTTTACGACTTCGAAGGCCTTAACCTCGACAAGGGCCACGTAGCCTTTAAGTAACTTTACAGAGGTTGCATTCGAAATGATCAGCACGAGGGCATTGCTTCTTGTTGTTACTGCCACGTAATATTTCGGTGCGAGTTCAAGTGTCAACACCTCTCAGAGTTTTCTAAAAATCTTCGATAGTTTAATTGTTTCACATATTCTATCGTTAAAGATTAATTACAATTTCACATCACGTGCCACATTAAAAAGGAATGTGAAAAATTTTGAGGTCTTATCTGAGACGATTTATCTCAAATTGCCAAGATACGTACTTAAAGCTGGGAGCACGAACAAAAAGCATCTGGATAATTACAAATAATTATTATTAACTTTCATGAAGAAGTAACGAAGATTCTGTGAATTTCTTCTAATCCATATATGGAATTTTTCGACTCATCAATCACAATTACGACTCTCTTCACCATTTTTATACATTCTATAAAATCTAAATCCCCTCGATTTCCTCTGCAATTATAAGCGATCTTTAATTCAATTTTTATGAATTCATTCCATCTCAGAAGTCGCAAGAAAACGCTTTCATTCCCTGGGCCTTGGCAGTGAAATCAGCTCTCAAATCGATTCAGGTTTCAAGATCTCTTTTCCACCATCTACAATCTCGTTTCATTAAGAAGTTTAGCCTCGTGAACGTGACACGTGTAAGTGGTCGAGTCTCGCGATCGTCTGGCGACGCGAAAATCTATGTTAACGAGTTCACTTTCGTCGGGAACGCGTGTCGTTCGAATAACAAGCACGAGACGGCGACGATTTTCGCCGGACGCGAGCGAAATCTCCGCGTCGATCTCGAGCGGATCGGAATCAGAGCGAGACGCGAGCCATCGACTAGAATCAGGCTGACGAGTTCTGCGGCCGACGCCTCGCTTGTCTGGGCGATTATAATGAAACTAGAAACGTGATTTACTGAATTTACATTCTAATGAAACCACTGCATCTATTCACATAAATAATGCTTACTATGGAATTTTAAAAATCATTGAAAAATTAAAATGATTGCAAGATGATGAAATAATAATCAACCGTTCCATTTGTATAAACTACTTTCAATTTGGATAGGTGATCTTTTAATTATTCCGAACGGTGTGTAATGTACGTCATACTTGACCCTGTTCTAGGATATGGGTCCTACGTTTATATGTAAATCAGAGTTAATTTGGAGCACAGAATAGTTGTCCATATCAATGATATTATGTATACTTATCCAAGCGATTATCGATACAAAATGAAAAGTGCAAGAAGAAATAATTGGAATCCGCCTTTTCATCAACACAATTCCCACGAGGAACGTGCAAATCCCGAGGAGGGTTCGCGAGAGGAACGATGCAAATCGAGGCGATGGAGCGTAAAGAATTCAAGACGATCTTGGGCCACGCAAGAAACAGAAGGGCACACGTTTTTCTCGTCGTACTTCAACGTGCAATAATGTCGCGTTCAAATGTTAAGACGTTGATGCATCGACGAGGTGAAACCGGTTCAACGTCGAACAGCAGCCTCTGTTGAATAAAGGTAGCGAAGAAAAACCGAGAGGAAACGGCAATCAACGAGGCAGTGTTTGAACTATCCGTTGAATATCGATAACGTTTTGCGTGCAAGGAACGTCAATTATATCGGTTTCAACGTCAATCGCGGGACCTCGATGAAGCCTTTTGTATCCCCGAGTTTCGGCTACCTGGACCTTCTGTTTAATCCTTTTTCAATGCCTTCTCGTAAAGCATTCGCCGAGGAGCGACGTGTTCCCGGCCCGAAAGAACTGGTTCTTCTACGGAGGGTGGTTAAACTCGATGCAATGCGTGCATTTAGTGAAACATCGGTCTGGAATGCAAACACGTGGGGAAGGGTAGGAACCTGCATGGGAACCTATCGCGCGATCCTGCATTACGATCCACGCCGCTGAGTTTTATGCGTTCTATGGATAAGCTCGTTTCACTTCACGGTGAACTGGATTCTTTCTTACGATTTTACGTAACGATCATCCATTTGGGATTATTCGTATTCACCCCTGCAATGGAAGAGAATGAATTATTATTAGTTCTAATTTAAAGTATATTGTTAGTTTATAAAAAGAATTATGTAAACAAAAAGAAAAATAAATCTTTTGTAAGTAAAAATCATTTTTGTTGAATACCTGAAACCTTGCCCTTTACCTTCGAGCTCTAATTTCAGCATTTTA